CTTCCCTTGGGTTGCAGCTCTGGGAGCTTCATGCTGCTCCCTCGCTACAGGAGGAGACCACCAGCAGCACCTCATCTCCTGCATCTCCTTTCTACCAGGACCTAAAGCTTCCTGGGGCTGCACCGGGAGGCCCTGGCACCAGGAGGTGGATGGTGTGTCCCTAGGGAAGATCCTTCTCCTAAAGACACCACAAAGTGGAGAAGAAATAAAAAGATAGATGCCTCTAGACTACAAGGGTTTTTCTGGTGGTATGCAAGATATAGGAGGTGGGCACTGCATGTGAAGGATGGACCACCAGACATGACATGGGGGTCTCACCCCAACCTCTGCCCTGGCGAAGACCAGCACTTTGGAGATCATAAAGGAACGATGTGTTGACCAGTTGGAGTGAGGCCAGAGGAGGCCACGGAGATGCCCCAAGGGCTGGAGCCCCTCTGCTATGGGGACAGGCTGGGAGAGTTGGTGGGGTCAGCCTGGGGAAGGGAAGGCTCTGGGGAGACCTCAGAGCCCCTTCCAGTGCCTGGGAGGCTACAAGGAAGCTGGGGGGGACTTTTCCCAAGGGCAGGGACTGACAGAACAAGGGGTGATGAGTTTAAACAGAAAGAGGGAGATGGAGATGGGACATCAGGGAAGAATTCTTCCCAGAGAGGGTGGGGAGCACTGGGACAGGTTGCCCAGAGAAGCTGTGGATGCCCCATCCCTGGAAGTGTCCAAGGCCAGGCTGGATGCAACGGGGTCTGGTGGAAGGTGTCCCTGCCCATGGCGGGGGCTGGCACTGGGTGGGCTTTACGGTCCTTCCCAACCCAAACCGTTCTGTGATTCTCTGCAGAAGAAACCAACACCCCCTACCTGCAGTGCTGCCTGCATGGCTCTGGGCATCTTCCAGACCCGGCCCCTGGCCACCAGCGTGGCCACATCCCAGGTCAACATCACCCAGAAGCATGAGACGAGGGGAATTCTTTGGCTACCAGTGACGAGGGCAGGCTGCAGGCAGGGCAGCTTCCAGGGTAGTGTCCCTTCCTTGGGCTGGGCTCTTCCTGCCACCCCTGCCCACAAGGCATTTTGAGGCAGAAAGAGCATGTTTTGGGATTATCCATCCTGTTTTAGGTTGCAGCACAGAACTTTTTTTAAAAGGTTTCCTGGGACAGATTTGTCCTGCTAAAGAGGTGTGTGGCCACTTCCTACACCCACAGCTTCTCCCTGCTCTTCACTGGGGTGTGGTGAGGTGCTGCCAAACCACAATGAGCCAGAAAAGGTCACCAGAAAACAAACACAAGGCTATTCCTAAAACCCTGATGGAGCCAAGAGTGGGAGAGCAGCCTGGCAGGTCCTCACGAGGCTCTGGTGAGTGCCTGGTGCCAGCACTAAGCCCCGCTGCATGGCAGGAGCATCACAAACCCAACCGGTTTTCCCTTCTCCTCCAACTCCTGGACTTTCTCCACTGCTGTTCCTTGGAGGAGAGGTCTCAGTGAAGAGGTTGTTCATGCGCACGCTCCCAGATCAGCAAGATTTCCTCTCCCCCCTGGAACTCCAGTTAGGTCCCAAGCCAGGCGACCCATGACTCTCCGCCCATGACCATCTCTGTTCCTCCTGCCAGTGGTCTCCAGAGCCTGTTTGCTGACCCAAAACCCCAGCCAGACCCACCCAGGAGCATGTGCAGAGCCTGGTCCTTACCTTTGAATCCCCGCAACCCCACTGGACCTGGTGGGCCAAGGTCTCCGTGGTCCCCTTTCAAGCCACGTGGTCCCGGTGGTCCTCTCTCCCCAGGCAGCCCTGGATTGAGGAAAAAGAGGCAAAATCATCCTGTTGAAGCACAGATCTGCAAGACCCAGATGTTCACAAGCACACACACGTGTCCTGCTTGCCAGCAGATGTGCCAGCCAGTCTCTGGTCCTTTGCTAGGAGTCAAGAACCTTCATGAGATACCTGAGAGTCCAGCCCATCCTCTCTTTCTCCACCTGCCTCTGGATACAGGATGGGTTTAACCAGACAGGCTGGTGTTAATGTGCTGCTCTGAGCATCTCAGGGCTCAGATTAAGGAAACTGGGCTCCACATCTGGAAACTGAGGAAGAACAAGGAGCCAAGGTGGAGCAGAGACCCCAAGAAGACATGAGGTGACCTGGATGATCTGCAGCTTCCCTGCATCCATGCACTCTGACCATGCTATTTATTAGAGAAGGGTTTGGATGAAACCCCCTTATCTGAGCACCCCTGACCTCCAGGAGGTGGGAAGTGGGGGCTGTAATTTGGGAGCTTGGGCTCCCTTCAATGGGGACACATCCAAGCTCCTGAGGTGACCTCCATCCACATGGGCCAGCAAGGGGAGGTGGAGAGAGAGTCCCCTGTGCTGGTGATGGGCTCTGGTGGGACCTAGGGGTGGCCCCACAAGACTGTCCCAGAAGAGACTCATCCTGAGCCTGGATCCGAAGCTCCTGGGGGAGAAGCCCTTCAGATGGAGCTCTTCCAGCATCCCATCTCAGCCTCCTGCCTGGCCCGATGCTGCCCGTCTCCCCTGCCCATGCTGAGGGAGCCCTGAATTCCCTTGGCAATGTGCCCTCCACCCCTCTTGGGCTGGGCTTTTCCAAACTTAGTCACTATTTTCCTCTGGTTAAAGAGGAAAAAAGCTGCCAGGAGGAATTTGGGCACCAGCTCCACTGGACATGGTCTGGGGCTTAACTCTTTCACTGCTGCATTAAGCCAACACCTCCCCTCCATCCCATGGGGGACGCTGCAATGTGTTGGGACCTGGCTATGGATTTGGGTAGAGGAGCTGGGGCAGAGGCAGGAGGGTAGATTCACTGTGCAAAAGGGGATTTACCAGGGATGCTTTACAATGCCTGGCTGCACCTGGACCTGACCTTCTCATACCCAAAGGGCTGGTGATGTGACCACGTCCAGAAAAGCACCAGAAAAAGGAAGGTGGAGAAAGACCCAAAAATAGTGGCCTTTACAACAACTCTTTCCAAAGGTGAACCCTCTGGAGGTTGTTTTGTTTTTCTGTTAAAAAAAAAAAAAAAGGAAAGAAAAGAAAAGAAAAAAGGAAAAAAGCCACAGGATGTATTTCTGATGCTTGTTACACCCAAGAAAAACAGCCATGAATCTGTCAACGCAAAAAAATAGAGCTGTTGGTGAAACGAGCCCGGGCAGCCAGCGCTGAGAAGGGCTTTCAGAGAGTGATTGTGTTTCCACGCTGGCTCTTCCTACCTTGGCTGGTCCTGCTGCCCGCCAGAGAGCCAGGGGATGGGGGTACCAAAATATGAGGGTTTAAGCCTACCCCAGGACCAGCAGCTGAGATGTGCTGAACCCCCCCTGCTCTGATGCTGATAATCTTACAGGGGTTGTGTCTTCAGCAGTGAGGGTGAAGCCAGAGTTGGGCACCCTGGATGGAAAACCTCAGTTTAACTGCATGGAGTTCAACCAGGCTAAGGGCAAGGTCCTGCACCTGGGTCGGGGCAATCCCAGCACAAGGACAGGCTGGGTGGAGAGTGGATCGAGAGCAGCCCTGAGGAGAAGGGTTTGGGGTGCTGGGGACAAGGAGCTGGCCATGAGTCGGCCGTGTGCGCTGGCAGCCCAGAAAGCCAACCCCATCCTGGGCTGGATCCAGAGCAGCGTGGCCAGGGGGGCGAGGGAGGGGATTCTCCCCCTCTGCTCCGCTCTGGGGAGACCCCCC